CTCTCGTACCTGTGTCTCCCTACTGCTGCGTCCTCTCTAGCCTTCGTGTCCTCTTTTGTTCTCTCTGCTGCTGTCTCTCTCGTCCATGTGTTCACTGTCCTACAGCTCTGCTCTTTGCTGCTGTCTGTCTCTCTCTCTACTCTGTGCAAGTGCGAATTGTGTCGGGCGACCTGCCACTGATGTGAGGCGTTACAGCTGCTTTGCATGTCCTGTGTCGTCTTGCAGAGACGTTTGTGGATTTTCGAGTGTGTTCGTACTGAGTCTTTCTTCAAAGTTTGACTGCTCTGACTGTAGTAAAAGTGTAGTGTGTGAGTTCGTCTGGCTTTTTTGTTGCTGCTCCTGTAACGTCAGTCTTTGTTCCGGCTTGTCTCTGTGTAGGTCTCGCAGGTCGGGGTCAGTCTTTCTGGGAGCTCACCAGTACTGAGCAGGGAAACATGTTCAGTGTTAGGGTGGAGACTTGCAGCTCTGGCCTCTCTGTGTTGTGGCTGTAGATTATCAGTATGGTGAGTTTGGATCACGAACACGCTACGGACTCAATGACTCTCTCCCTTCCCACAAATAAGCCAAAACACTTCAATTGTCGCGGAGTTCCACAAACACAACATTGAGATCAAAAATCCTCCACTGTCACATTAACACACGAGACTGAGCTCTCTCCTTGTTTGAACAGCTGTTGTGGAATCATCTCACTTATACGTGCACGTCTGTGAGGTGAAACCACGATCTCGACTTTCGAGACAGCGAGAGGATTTTACAGTCCCAGACGGCAGATTTCCTCTGATCTGGAAACGAGGTCTTCCCCGGGTAATGTTCTTGCTCGTCATCTTCCGCGCTACAACTGACACACGTTTGTCCTCATCATCTGTAGTCTCTGATACGCGTATGGCGAGCTGTTTACGACGTAGTCAGTGAGAACTCTTTTAGCCGGATTAGTCTACTATTTTATCAAACATCCTCTCCGTTCTTTTTTTTGTTAATCAGGATTGATGGGTTTTGTTTGTGAGGAGCTAGGCGAGACACTGTTAGCGGAGAGAGAGGATCGGAGACATCCTATACCCCAAGCAAAATCGTCGAGGTCGATAATACAGACAGATCAACTCGCTGAGGGCCACAACTAAGTGCTTTATAAGCTCTTTCTCGACATCTGTCAACAAAGGATCACACAGCGCCGTTCATCGACAGAAACTGATTTAATATGCTTGCTGTTGACCCACAACGTCTCCCACCGCCAGGACTGCAGTCCTTCCACCAACACTGAACACCATGTTTCCTGCTCACAGTCTGGGTGAGCCTCCAGAAGACGCCTGACCCCTGACTCCTATTTACACACCAACACTAACACCTACACAAACCTGAACTACACATATTTACTACATCCACAGAAAACTTTAGAAAGATAGAAAAACTCGAAAAAATCCCAACAAAACGCTCTCTTGCAACACCAAGCACCTCTCAACTCCACATTCACTCAGAGGAAGAGAGAAGAGAGACAGATCAGAGGAGAGAGAGAGACAGAGACAGAGAGAGACAGAGAGAGAGACAGACAGAGAGAGAGAGAGAACAGAGACAGAGAGAGACAGAGAGAGAGACAGAGAGAGGGAGACAGAGACAGCAGAGAGACGAGAGACAGAAGAGAGAGACACAGACAGAGAGAGAGAAGAGACAGAGACAGACAGAGAGAGAGATACAGAGGGACAGAGAGAGACAGAGAGAGACAGAGAGGACAAGAGAGAGACAGAGAGACAGACAGACGAGAGAGAGAGAGAGACAGAGAGAGAGACACAGACAGAGAGACAGAGAGAGAGTGAGACAGAGAGACAGAGGAGAGAGAGACAAAGACAGATTGCATGTGATCAAGATCAGCTCTTGACAACAAACTCTTCTGACCTCCAGTTGACTCTTGACAAATTCCACATCTCAGAGCTAAAAAAAGTCTCTTGCAACGCGACACCTGTCCTCCCTCACATGTGTCACGTGTTTTCAAAACCACCACGAGAGAAGGAGATCCAAAATCAAAACCAACAGAAGAGAAAGTTCATAAACAAACAAAAAAAAATCATTCCTCAGCACATTCACCTCACTGAGGTGAAGCTATTCCCAAACAGCTGAGAGCTCGCAGGTCAAAGGGTCAAGGTTCACAGCATCCTGACAACAGAAGCAGATTCTCCTGAGAGACTGAAGACAGATGAGCGAGGAGGGGGAGTGAAGAGGAGCATTTTCCTCTCTGTCTATTCACAGAGACCCAAACTGTGAAAACCAACACCATCCAGTATATAGGCTGCCAGCTTCTTGCTTTTTCCCCTCCCTTGACAGGACCCTGGCAGGCGTCACCCCTGCAGGCCACAGGGGCCACAAGGGGGCCACAGGGGCCACAGGGGGCCACAGGGGGCTCAGATTCTCACCCTGACAGGGCCTCCACATGTTTTCCACAGCTTGGTACATTGAAGAATCAATGAGAGACTGAGCGCATCACAATAAAACTGCCTGGTTGGCTACAGAGGGAACTTTTATTCTGACAGTCAACAGAAGAGACAGGAAATGAGGTGAAGGAGGAAGAATATGAAGAAAAAGAAAGACCCCAACAAAACTTACAACCAGAGGACATTGCGATGACCTGGTCAGTAAACACTCTGGTTACCAGGACAACCATTTCTTGGTCTTCAGACCAGATCCTGGACTCCTTCACTGGCGCCAGTTGGTGACTTCAAATAGAACCAAAATATATTATTACAAACCAGGTCGAGAACGTTCTCTCTCTGATTGCGCTCAGATTGTCGGGAGCAGGAAAGTTAAACACAGAAGAGTTTGACGCGTAACCATCAAGCTCAAACGGTGTGCAGTTCAGCCTGCTGGTGGGTCAGATCCAGTTCAAGAACTCTTTCACACCAAAAACCAGACCAAGACCACTTCCTAGAGGCCACCGCCTCGAGGCCACCTCCTAGAGGCCACCTCCTCGAGGCCACCTCCTAATACCACCTCCTAGAGGACCACCTCCTAGAGACCACCTCCTAGAGACCACCTCCTCGAGACCACCTCCTCGAGACCACCTCCTCGAAGCAACCTCCTAGAGGCCACCTCCTCGAGGCCACCTCCTAGAGGCCACCTCCTCGAGGCCACGCTCCTAGAGACCACCTCCCGAGACCACTCCTCGAGAACCACCTCCTCGGAGACCACCTCCTCGAGGCCACCTCCTAAGGCCACCTCCTCGAGGCCACCTCCCTAGAGACCACCTCCTCGAGCCACCTCCTTCGAGACCCACCTCCTCGAGGCCACCTCCTAGAGACCACCTCCTCGAGACCCCTCCTCGAGACCACCTCCTCGAGGCCACCTCCTCGAGGCCACCTCCTCGAGGCCACCTCCTCGAGACCACCTCCTCGAGTACACCCCTAGAGGCCACCTCCTCGAGGCCACCTCTAGAGGCCACCTCCTCGAGGCCACCTCCTCGAGCGGCCACCTCCTCAGGCCACCTCCTCGAGACCACCTCCTCGAGTACACCTCCTAGAGTCCACCTCCTCGAGGCCACCTCCTAGAGACCACCTCCTTCAAAGGGTCTGGCTCCGATTGGTTCTTGCGTCTGATTTACTGTTTTCACAAACAAATCGTACCAAAGGAAAACAAAACCAGTCTTCAGTTTCTTCTGTCAGAGAGAACAAACACTCTTGCTGATGCTACAGCAGCAGCTATGCTAACCTTTGTTAGCTTTCTGCTGTCATCATACCTAAGGAACGCCCACAAGCTGCCAGTAAGCCCTCCCTCACAGGGACTCTGTTTGAAGATGGATTCTCTCCTTCCAGAAATCATTTATATTCAGACATTAAACAGGAAGTCTACAACATGCATGAGAACACACACACACACACA